AAGTAACATGGATGCATGTAATAATTTAGCTACAAAAATGTTGTAGTTATCCAAACAGAAAACATATAAACAGTCTTCCAAAGGGCAGATGAATTTAACAAATCTTAACAATCTTAAAATTATAAGACTAGCAAATTATAAAATCTAAGTGAAAAATCAAGTTATAAAAATAGTACATTTGCTAAAAAATACACTGAAAAAAGACAACCTGTATATGATGATTTCAAGAAGTAAATTTATAAGAGCACTTTTTCATTGTTTTTGCTTACCTGCACTTTCTAAAGTTAACTATACTTTCAAAAAGTTATAAAGATTTTATAAGAAAAAAGAGTAATTACAATTGGTGGAATGTTAACAATACACTTTAGCAAGACGGACTGGGAAAGACGCAAGTAGGCAAATAATTGTATGACAGGAAGGTAAATTGTCAAATTGATGGGAAAAATCAATAAAAAGTTTACAATCACTATAATGAATAACATTAAACACATTTCTAAAACCATGAAACACAATATTATAATTATTTATTTTTAAGTATGACATTTTTGTCAACTTCTAATAATTTCATTTTTCTGCATCTATTATATGCTATTAATTATGATAATTATAAGAAATAAAAAGTAAAGAAAACCTGGAAAAAAGAGAGGTTAAGACATTAGGTTATCTGATTATTCCCTCTGCTAAAATGGAATGTTAGCTTTTTATTAGTTTATGCACATGCCTAGATCTCAAATCTGCTTCTTTACAGTGACTTTTGGTTATATAGAATATCAAGTGAGAAATTCATAATCAGACCAAGAATGTTCCAGCATGGACTTGTGAATCTTGAAATATGTGTCATTATATTAACTTCTCAGATTTTAATTTCTGTACTTGTTATATAAATAAGAAATTCTTCACAATTTTAAAATTATTCATAACTTTTCCTCAAATATGCCTTGTTTCTTTTACCACTTGTGGTCTGGTTTGTTGACTGTGTGGGCTCCCACCATTTAGGTTTCTTTCTATAGATCCATATGAAAATTACACAGAAAAATTTTTGGAATACATTGACTCTAATCATCACAATACCTTCAAAGTCTTTATTTTAAATGTTTTTCTTCCTTCTTCATTATAAATCACTACTGCACTTCTGAGACAATAATATGACAAAACAAGAACTCCAATACACAGACTTAACATTGGTTTTACTATCCAGGATTTTTCCTTTCGTGACACCTCACTCACCTTGGTTGCTTCTATATTACTCAGTACTCCTCTCCTGGCACTCAAAGGAGAATCCTTGGTTCACAGATGTAATGACTCCCTGGCCCCTTCACCCATTAAAATTACAATCTCAGTTAAATCATGTACCTACAATGCCACACTATATTCAAGATTTCAATATTGCTAGAAGCAATCATGCAACTTTCCTCATGGGTTTTCCTTACTCATTCCACCAACTCTCAAATGTGCATTCAGTTCTACCTAGCAATCCTACTTTTTTCTAGTTATATTCATTTTCACATAAACCAAAACAACAATTTCAAATTGTCTCTACTTTATAAATCTTTAGCACCAGACACTAAACACATCACACTAAGAATCCAAATTAAAAATTTTATTGAGAAAAGGATGGCACCTCAACCTCATTTTTATACCACTAAATGTCCATCCATGTTCTTTGTATACCTCTATTATAATGAAAGTATTTTGCCCTCTTCTAAACAAAAGGCAACTCTTTATGTTTGGCTATGTTCTAGAACCTAATTATCTACCCTCAATCTAACTATCTATTCCAGGACTTGCTACTACAATTACCTTTTCTCTCCTTAAAACATCATCTTTCCTTTCTTCTTTATCAATACAACAACCACATGCTTTAGAATCTTGCAATAGAAAAGAGAACAAATCCTAAGACACCAGGAGCCTGCTTTCTATTTAATATCATTTTTTCTACCTGCATTACAGGGAGGAAAAAAGTTGTATATGTTTACTGTTTCTATTGGCCACTCTCATCTTACTTTCTTCTGGAAATGTTTTCTTCTGTTGCTTTCCCTGACACACTTGTTAGTTTCTATTTACCTCATTTAACATTCTTAAATTTCCTCTTAGATTCTCCTACTTTTCCAACTACAAATATTGGCATACCACAGAGCTTGGTCCTGGGGCTCTCTTTTTTCTCAATGACCTTTCTCTAGTTTTATGTAGTACACAGCTTTAATTAGCTATGCGCTGATGGCTCAGTAACTAACTGCCTGCTCAGTGTTTTCATCTGAATTTTAAATAATCATCTCAAATATATATATATATATATATATATATATATATATATATATATATATATATATCTCCAAGAGAGAGTTTAATTTCCCTCCCCAAATATGTTTATCACAATCTCCCAAAGTCTCCATCACAAAAGAGAATATATCTACAGTGTTCATGCCCAAACATGGGAGTCAGCTACAACTCTTCCTGGCCCCTTCTTTCCAAATCCGGTCCATTTTCAAGCCCTGTTTACTCCAAAATACTTCTATAGATCTAAACTTGTTTATCTAAGCCATTATTATGGCTTTATCTTTTGCTTATACTATTTCAATAGCTCTTGTCTTTCAATAAAATTTTGATAAAATTTCTACTCCTGGCCATAATSTACAATGTCACACAGAATTTTCTACTACCTATGACCTCTGTCTAATCTCTTGCCACTATCTTCCTTGCTCACTAGACTTTAATTGGATACAAGTTTGATGCATTTGCATCATTGCCTTAAGTATGTGCCCATCTCTCAGAGCATTGTTGATCTCTCCTTTTCTGATAGAATATTCTTTCTACAGCTCTTTGCAGGGCTAGACCTTCCTCCCTTTTCATGTCTTAGGTCAGCTACTCACCTTAACAGAAGCCTGATCATCCTAGCAATCCTATCAACTGCAGTTCATTCATTATCTTTTTATTTTCATCCTACCACTACTGTAATTTATTTATTTGTTGTTTGCTATCTATATATAGCAAATATAAGTTTTAAAGGAGTAGGAACCTTTTAGATTTTTATCATTGTTTCAGTTCCCAGCACAAGGCTCATACTAGGTACTCAATAAAATGTGGATGCATGAGTATTTCACTAACTTTTTCTAGTTTACCATATCTTGAAATAGATGTAAAGTGATCTATTAGTTCAATAGTTTATAAAGCTAAAGAAATGAAAGTTTTTAGCTTTATCCTCTAATTCTAGATATTTCTATAACTGTAATATAATGCACAAGAATAAATCAGTCCATTTTACAAATTCAAGAATCTTTTCCGATTCTAATCTGAAGAAAAATGTCACATTTCCACATCTAGTATAGGACAGAACCATTTGTGGCAGACCAACACTCTAGCCATGAACTAGAAAAGCCAGAATAAACAAAAAAATCATCAGAATAAATGCACAAAATTATGTGGCTGTAATAATGACTGGAATGGCTATGATCCTGAAGAGGGGCTAATTAGAGAGAGGTAATTTGAAGTCTGCACTCGTTTTTTCTCCAGAGTTTTACAGATTTTAGGTATGGCAAAAGGACAGAGAAATCAGACTTTGACTAGGAGGACAGAGAAACCATGCAAACTTTGGCAGTTAGATAGGACCGAATGACAAAATTGGAGGAAACAGAACATTTCTCCAGAGTCTTACAATGCTGAGGAGACAATACTGACAGGATCTGGCAGGAGTAGGTCCTCAGGAATACTAAGCTGTGAGTTTGGAAGGATTCATCCAAAGTACTAGGGTGAGACAAAGACTTACCAAAAATTCCGTCCCAGTCTCCAAGGGTGATGATAAACCATTTGTATTGTGTTAGAAATAAGGTAATAGGAAACATTTTATGAAGTAGGAGAAAAAAGGAACAACTGGCTGTGACAGTCTTAAGCAGGCTGGAAAAAAATATGAATTAGAGCTGGGTGTGGTGGTACATGCCTGTAATACCACCAACTCAGGAGGCTGAGGCAGGAGGATCACAAGTTCAAGGCAAACCTCAGCAACTTTGCAAAGCTGGAGACATGTATGAACTCACTGGGGATGAGAGATATCTGCAATCAGAGTCCTAGAGTAAGTGAGTTAGAAAGATAGTAGGTGGAATTCAGAAGCATGATACTTGAAACTCAGATGAGTAATGACCAAGAATACGATATGACCATAGAGTACATGGCTGAAGTAGTATACTAGTGGAAGGAGAGAAATTTCAGGAAATCAGAGACTGGCACATTGCAAGGGTCAGTTATATAGATATTTAATTCACAAAGAATTAATTATGACAGGGGTTGGTTGAAGAGAAAGAGAAGCAGATCTTAAAATCTTCCTGAAACAAGGAAAATGACACAGGAATATGTACATGACTGTGACAAGATTGTGTACTGGGCAGTGTTTTCTGATGCATGAGATTCAAAGCTAGAGATGTTTAGAAAGGAAAAAGAAACAATGATCTAAAAACATGGGCTCAGTAGTATAACTGGTATGGGAAAGAATACAGCCACTTCTAGAGAAGATGCAGTGGAGCTAGTAGACTCAGGGAGGAAACAGTTTGAGTTAGAGCAGGAAGTGCAAGTCATGCTCAGAAAAGAATATGCTAATAATTTGACCCATTCAACTATGTTTACTAATGATACCAAATTAGGCATTGGGAATAAAACAGTAATAAAGGCAGAGTCTCAGCCTTCACAAAACTGGAACTTGAAAAAAAAGTCCAGTATACAAGAGATTACTTTGAGAATAAAATAAAATTTTAATAACAAATTAACGTGTTATAAAACAAGTTTTATTTTACTAACAAAAGATGATGCATTCAATTTTATAAAGAAATGAGGATGCATATTTTGAACAGTGGTAGAAGGAAATTATGTAAATATTTTAATATATCTAATCATGAGTATAAACTCTAAAAACTAAAGATAATTAATAATATTTGGGCAAGAATCACTCTTTAATGGATAAAAAAGAGGGGGAAATGGTAATTATATGCTTTTTCAGATACATGCATAGTTACCTGAGACAAAGCAGCATCCCGTTCTTGTATCACTGCATTCATTTCTTCGGCAGTTATTCTCTTTTTACATTCCTTGGTCTTGTAGATTCTATCCACAATTACAGCTCCATTCTTCTGAATAGCTATTCCTGTGTCGGCATTGTTTATTCTGTTCAGTAATTCCTGTAATGTCTACCAACACCATTATATGTTAGTCAGACATGAAGTTTTAATATATTTTATTTAATATAGGGTTTTAATTAATAGGCACATGTGAATTGTAAATTGACTGAGTGAAGTTATTGAATTTTCATATTGCAGCAAAGATGTACATTATTAGTGTGTCAATTCTTCTTTTTCCCACATCTTAGTTCTTGAAACCCACTCAATTGAACTTAAGCCTCTAAGATATAAGACTGACATCAAGAAATCTCCTCAGAGAATGGCTTACCATGTCATTTTCTTCAGGGTTAATATTTTCTAGCCTAGAAAAAAGGGACACAGAAAGCCTGATCAGTAGCATTTCCTTAGTGCAGCAAAATGAGTTCGCTTTTTAAATCTTTAGAACCTCAAGTAATTTCATTCGACTAGTCTTTAGAGTCAACCATGACACTGAACATATTAAAGTGCCACCTGCTCGACTCCATCTTTCAATAATGCTCTATATCTTCTGCACTGACTTCAGACTGTTAAGTTATTAATGTTTACTGCTATATATGACTACAAGGATCAATTGTTCATATGTGCTTAGATGAAGAAAGTTCCCCAGTGATAGAAGCACTCATTCTCATCATTATATTTATTCCTGGACTTCCAATTCTTAACAGAAACTGTATTTCCTCTTTTGTGGATGCCATCACAAGTAAAACAAGGCAAGTATTTTTATTTCAAAGTTTAACTATGTTCCCTCAAAAACAGTGACAAATAATTACACTAACTTTGACCTGAAAATCTCTTGCTGCTATCTATTTGTTAAGACAAATACACTATATAGACATGCTGACCAAAATTGGGCCACATTTTAACATTGCTATTTTCTCTTTTTTTAAGGAATCATTCAATTTAAAGACAAAGAAAATAAACTGGATCCCCTCATAAATACACTGTCTCAAAAGAGGCATGATGTTTATAGAACAACATAAATGTTGATGGACTGAAGGAATGTCTGAAAGTAAACAAATTCTAAGTGACAGACATTAGAAAATTTCTAAAATATAATTTAGGTAATTATTAAATTGGGCAAATTAAAGGAGAACCTGTAATGGATATTAGTGAAATGATACAGATTCTAGAAACAATCTCAATTATTTAAAAATTACAATAAAAAGTTTAGATAATCAAGTTCCTGTTTTTTCAAGATTAACCCCCTCTCCAAAACTGCATTCCTATGATTTAATATTAACTACACAGGATCCTGGGCCCATGAATTTAGAATTCAGAGTTTAAATAGTTAGAATGACTGCACCTAAAAGTACATGATATAATTTTTCATTGCTGGTAAATTAATTTGAACTGCTTTTGGTGAGTCTACTGTGCTAAGTCTCATAGGTGGTGCATAAGTGAGCACAGTTAACCACTTAACATTTGGATCTCAATAAATACTACATTAGGAAAAATTAAAATAAAATTATTTGATAAATATGTCACAAAGTTGTTGCAAACTCCACAAATGGATGAAATCACTGCACTCAAGGTAGTAATTTTAAAACACAGCATCAAGGTAGTAATTTTAAAACACAGCATCTTAACAGAAAAAATATATAAACATATTAAAAAGTGACATATAAAAAGCTATCTCTGTATATTCAAATAGTGTATAACAGGAAGGCATAGTAATTTTGAATTATATATAACAATGCATTTCAAACTACTAAAACCTGCTTGAATTCACATTTCAGGAAGAGCAAATACTCTTGTCTTTTATCACTTTTTCCTCCAAAATAAATCGAGTTTTCAATGATGCTACTTAGCAAAGCTTGTTCTATAAGAATTGTGAAGATAAGTATTTCTTTTCTTTACTCAACTGAAAAAGCAGAAAAGTATGATAATAAAACCCTTACATTTATTTATGGTCACAGTACAAGTATTTGGGGACTATCAGTAGCATTTAACCATTAGCTATTGGATGGCTAAATATGATTTTTAAGAAAGTCAAATGTCGGGGGCTGAGGCTGTAGCTCAGCGGCAGAGTGCTTGCCTAGCATGTGTGAGGCACTGGGTTCGATCCCGAGCACCACATAAATAAACAAAATAAAGGTATTGTATCCAGCTATAACTAAAAATAAAAAATAACAAAAGAAGGAAGTCTAGATTAAAAAAAAAGAAAGTCAAATGTCATGGGAAATATCATTTTAATATTATGCTTTTAAAAATGAAATCAGATGAAGAACTGATTATGGCAGTTTCCAAATAAAATCCAATTCACATGTTTAAAAATGTCATAAAAATTACTTCTATTAAACTTGATAATTTAATGTGATAAACCTCAGATTTGTAGACTCCTAAGAATAGTTATCAAAAAAAATTAGTAACAAAAGTAATAAATCTCCATTTTCAGTGTAAAATAGTTATATTACAGGAAGAAAGTAACAATATAAACAGGCTACATAATTTGTACCTACCAGATAATCAATACAATAAAAACTATGGAATTTCTACGTAATACTTGTAAGTTATCTTTAGACATTGTAATGTGAAAAAATATTCTTTAATGAGAGGCAGACGAAGAGTTCAAATGTTTAAAATTAGCACCTCAATAGGAAAGAGTAATATTTTAATATTAGTATTTATTCTAATATTAAATTACTAATATTTTAATATTAGTATTTATTCTAATATTAAAATCACCTAATAATTTTCTAAATCGAAGTCAAATTTTCTCTGAGAACTATATTAGATCCCAGGCATATGAATTTGGCATTCAGACTTTGAGTAATTTGTGTAAATTACTCTGAAAGTACATAATATATAATGACTTATCATCTGCTGATAATTGAACTGGAACTATTTTTGATGAAGTCTACCATACTAGATCTGATTGAGCATGACTGAGAAAAGTCAACCACTTAACATTTGGATCTCTATCTTATTTTATTATTATTTTGTCTAATTGATAAGTGTACTGATACATGGCCATCAAAAGAAAAATAGAACTTTACCAAAAAAATTAAAGAAGGTTAATTGGCGACTTGAAAATTTGCATAGACACACATAACTTATATTTCTCTATTTGTGTTTTGTAAGTCTCAAGGAGTATCTGTCAGAGATATCAAAAATTGATTATATTATAATTTAATCTATTAGATCACATGGAGTAGGGATCAGTGAACATTCTATAAAGGGCCAGATAATAAATAATGTAGGTTTTGTCTATGTTTACTGTCATAGCTACTAAACTTTGTAGTGTAAAACCAACTATAAATAACATATATGTGAATGAGTATGGTTTGGTTTTAATAAAATTTTATTTACAAAATCAGGAGGTGGGACACATTTGTATCATAGGTTCTTAGTTTGCCCAACCTTGATAGATTATTGTAAAATAAGACCAGATCTTTGATGTTAGTACAGTAAGTGCTGATTCAGTATACTTGGCATAATTTTCTAAGCTGGTTCATTCAACATCTAGTTAAAAATTAAGAATTAACAAAAGTAATTTTCAGAAAATTAAATCCAGGCCTACAATAACTATACCACTTACTATATTACTTAAAACAACACAAACGTTAGACAACCTACCTACCTTTTCATAAAAGAGAAAATTTGGAACGGCTATATAAGCCTTCAATTTTCCATAAAAGATAACTCTGGGGAACCAGGGTTTACTGGTACATGTATAGCATATAACAATTTATTGGTTTAGTAAAGACTTAAAATTAATAGATGGTGTTACACAAAATATAGCTAACCAACTATAAATTACATTTCATTAATACGAGCTTTACAATTAGACAAAATAATCTCAACCTTTTGTAAACTCTAAATTATGCCTACTACAGTCTAACTTGACAGTCATGATAACTGGTAAGAATTTGCTGAAGTAAATGTCCATGGGCTCAAGTTTCAATTGATTTCCTATATCATGCAAATTCTAATTGACAACCTTGCACTCTAAGTAAAAGAAACCATCCATGAAATGTCACATTTCTTGATTTATTCCTAAATAAGTCAATATCATCTTTTACCTTTCTGAAGCTATAGTCATTCACTGTTTTCAATGTGAAAAGCATAATATTGACTTCAAGTGATAAAGAACTAGTGATCAGCTAACCAGAAAATTTTGAGTTGTTTGCTTTTATTCTCATTTTTTGACAGCATTACATGTGATATACTTAAGAAAAATTAACAATAACAAAGAGACTAAAAACAGATATAAACTCAAAAGTTTGAGTGTACGTATGAAAACATATGTATATTAGTAGTATACCTAAATCATTTTAACTTGAATCCTTTTAACTTTTTTCCTACTTTTGGATGAAAACCAAAAAAGTAAAGAAAGAAAAAAAAACACTGGTAATTGAAGAGGTAAAGTAAAGTAGAAAGGTGTCAGAATAAGACTAGGTTGACACTACAATACAGAAATAAAAAGAAAGTCAGAAGTGGCAAAGGAGATCAGACAAAAGATGGAGGAAGCTTGAAGGTTATAGAAAGCAGGAAATAGGGCATTAAAAAAAGGTAAAAAAATAAATCGTACAATTTCATCCTATATTCAATGCCTCTAAATATGTTTCACAGTTAAGCAAAGTCTGGTTATAAATTTGATGCATATTTTTAAAAGTTTAGTCTAAAATGCTCTCTTGAAGGTTCAGAATCAAAGATAGCTGAGGAGAAACAAACCTCTATACTAACATCTGACACAAGGCTGACATATTATTCTGTTTTTGTATAGTCTGTATGCTGAAGCCCACCGATCTGCACCCCCAGACTATGATACAGTAGAAGCCCTTCTTATAAACTTTCTAGAAACCAATGATTCTGTTTATCAGTTAGTACTGTTTTAAGTATCAGTGTAACTATTTAGATGATATTCCTAACTAAATTGGTACCATAATAATGTGTCCCCAGTAACTAGAACTATAACTGACATAGTATATGTTCCATAAATATTTATTAATTGGATTAATTAATTTAAAGAAAAGGCTTAGGTCTGTTTTCCTTTTTCCCATTCCTATTCCTCTGTAACACTAATGCTACACAGAGAAATGAAAAAGGCTCTGCCTAAAGGAATGCTAATTTCAATATACTGTARTAAAAAGTATAACAAATAAATGTACAAATTAAAATATATACAATGGAAGAAAACAATGAGGAAAGAACAGGCTCTATTTAGATATATTTTGGCTAAAGAGAATAAACAAAATTAAGAGATCAATTTAATAGGGATTCTGAGAAGTTTTGGCTTGGATATGTAGGCAGATGGTTGTGTCACTGATCAGGATAAGGGATTAAGGAGAAGGATCAGGTTTTAAGAATGAATTAATAAGTT